CCTGGGGCCAAGCTTGTGAGAGCAGGCCCTAGCAGCCAAGTCCAACCCTGTGTACACACAGCTTCAGTGACAAATCTATCCCTCCCAAGTCCTAGTGCCTTAGGGATAGCAGTTGGAGGGCACCAGTAGGGATGGACAGAAGAAGATGCAGGTAGGGATGGAGAAGATGACACTCCTGTCCTGACTGTGCCCTGCACACTGTCTCTGTGAGCTGCAGAAAGGAGCTGGAGGAAGCGAGCCAGGCTGTGTTAGGATGCTGCAGGGGGAAGGTTTGGTGCTGGCAGCGTGCTCACCCCTGGCTCTGTGTGTTGCCTGCAGTATCCCATGTATTATGCCCCTCCGCCGCTGCCTCCAGTTTGCTGCATGGAAACAGAGACCCCAACTGCAGAGGACATCCAGCTGCTGAAGAAGACAGTGGAGACAGAGGCTGTGCAGGTGCGTAGGTGTCTCAGGTCATAGAATCATTAGGGTTGGAAAAGATCTTAAAGATCATAAAGTCCAACCATAAACCTTCACAGTCCCTCTCAGACCAGTCAAGGCATCAGGATAGAGACCAGTGGTCGGGACTTCCTGCTTCCAAGTGCTCTGAGAGCAAATACCCCTACTCTGATGCCCTGATTGGAATCAGTGGGAAGAAGAAACCTAAGCAGGGCTTCTCTGTGCCCAAGGGGTCTGTGGGTGGCTCCCAGCCCTCTGCACAGGATGTCCCTGCCAGCTGTAGAGCGGTTGGAGTCAGGCTGGGGAGGCTCAAGGTTTTCCAGAGCTGCGGAGAGATTTGTTACTGCTCCCTGACTCCTCTGGTTTGTCTATAGATGCTGAAAGACATAAAGAAGGAGAAGGTTTTGCTGCGCCGGAAATCGGAGCTTCCTCAGGACGTCTACACTATAAAAGCCCTGGAGGCCCACAAGAGAGCAGAAGAGTTCCTCACCTCGAGCCAGGAGGCTCTCTGACGGGCTAGGAGCTGCTGTGCGAAGCTCTACCCCATCCCTTCCCCCGCAGGGGTCACAGAAATGCACTTGGTTCTCATGTATAACTAAGGAATGAACATGGTGAGCTGTGCCTGTCCTTCACTCCATCCGCATCTCCCCTACCAGAGCAGATCTGGTTTTACGTTGTCCCATTTATCTTACCACTGCCATGTCCTTCTGCTTCTCCTCTTCCCTCTTGCTCCTCCACCTTCCGCATGTGCGTGAAGGGAGCCTGCCTGGCCAGGGATTACACTAGGCCAGGCAGGAGCTGCTTCCTTTCCAGCCCCTGCCCAGCTCTTGCTCTGCCCAGGGACCAGAGCCGGGCTGCCCCGTGGGAAGGAGCTGCCTCCCTCCCGCTCCTGGCAGGAGGCGGATGGAACGCGGGCGGCCGGGAGCCGCTCTGCGCTGCCGCTGTAACCAACAGGGAGAACCAGATCGGCTCCGGGGGCAGCCCGAGCTAGGCAGGAGCACGGCACAATTCATCTCGGTGGCTGCGAAGAGCCCGGCTGGATTCGGGTGCTACCTGCCCTGCCTGGCCGGAGCGCCGCGCGCAGCTCGGTGCGCGGCGGCAGGCCCCCGCGCGCGCCTCTGCCGTGCCTTCCCCAGGCTGCCCGTGCAGCCAAGCCATCGAGCAGAGGCTGGGCTGGGTTTGAGGCAGGAAACAGGTGGTAGAATGAGTTTGGGAGGGCTCTGCTGCCCCACCGCTCTGCTGCCTTGGTGAGGTGTCTGCAGCTGGAGCAGAGATGTTCATGTCTACCTTCCTTTTGCCTCTTCTGTTCTCCTGTCGGTGGAGTTGGGGTTCAGTGCTTTGCCGCCCACAGGGAAGCTGGGTGTAAGCACTATTATTGCTTCCCTCCCCTGAGAGCATCCTTAGAAGCTTTTTGGTGGAGAAAAAATGATTTCTTTCAGCTCTTTGTTGTCCTCCTCACTAAACTCTTTCCATCCCAGCCTCGTGAGTAGTCATAGGTCCAGAATTATCTTGACTTTTTCTTTCATCTTCTACCTAATCAGTTCAAGTACTCCTGCAGACCTCCCTTCATTGCTCTGCAGGGGCCCCAGTTCCTAAGAAGCTTGTGCTGCTCAAGTCATTCCCACAAGTTAGTGGGCATTGGGATACGCATTATGGGGACAGGCTGAGTTTGGGAGTGCTCAGTCATCTATTCTCTAGGACCAGTGGTTAGCTAATACTAGTGAATCGCTTCTGTGGGTGCCCTGGGCAAAATCTGCCTTGCCTCAGTACTTTGGCACCTGCTCTTTGCCCTGCAGCCCTTGCTAGCTATCACACGGCGCGCCGGGACTCACTGGGGTCATTTAGCCTTCCGAATGTATTCGAATGTATTTGGAGCGCTATCGTGATCCAGCTCTTGAGCTTTGTCCCCTACTTGTTGTGGTGCAGATCCACCTCCGAGAAGCTGGCTTGCAAGAGAGAGAAGGGGGTCTTCCATGCTTCTTACCTGCCTTACTCGCTTTTTTGATGCTTGAGGGGATTTGTGGCAGCGTAGGGAGCTTTTGGGGCTGACGCTTGTCTGACCGCCGCTTTGTGGCGTTGTGGGATGCTGCAGAAGGTCCTGCTGGATCTTCTCCTTGTCCTCACCAGCGAACGGCTTCCTGGGTCAGTGACTGTCTCCCTGTGATCATGTTATTGCTGGCATGCAGCATTATCTTGCCTTTCTTCAGCCCCACCGCTCTTGGTTGTCTTCTCCCAGACCAAAAGCCAAATTAGGCTTTTCCCTCTGTGTGTCCTGTACCTCCTTCCTCCTGTCCCCCGCCCTGTGTAGCTCTTCTCAGCGCAGCTTCCTTCAGTCTGGCCTGTTCACCGTGCCACCATCTCCAGAGCGGCGGTGAGCACGCGAGGAACCGTCTGCGGCGCGGGAGCCCCCACGGTCCCTCTGCTGTGCGCAGCAGGCCCCTCAGCCGGAGATCTACGAAACACCTCAGGGAGGTTCTTGCTTATTTTGAGCATTAGTCTAAGCTCACGGTCAGCTGCCAATCGATTACCTCATGCCTGGCACAGCATCACGGAGACGTGCCCTGGGTGATTCCAGACAACACACAGGAGGGGCAGGTGGAGACGAGCACGTGCCAAGTGCCACCTGCAGCAGGACTAGGACTAGGGCCAGGGAGGACGTTCCTTCCCTTTGCTGTGCGGCGTCTTTCCAGCTTGTCCGCGTAGCGGTGTGTTCTTAGCTGCCATCTCGTTCCTGAGAGCGCCGCACTGTGCGCGCGCCCTCGCCAGAGCGCGTCCCCCCGGGCTCCCCTGCTGCAGCGGGAGCAGAGGCTGCTGCTGCTGCTGTGCCAGGGCTCTCGTTGCCCCCTGCATGGGCCCATCTCCCCCTGCTATGTCCAGAGGAAGCACCATGAGGCCGGGCCAGCACAGGGGCCGGATCGCGATGCGCCACAAGCCCATGCTGTACAGCTTGGATGTTCTCATAGCTTTGTGTGTATCGTTGGGGGTCAGGGAACTTAACGCTTAGGACCTTAACATTACTCTAGTTTGCTGCCTGCTCATTCCAGTGTCCTGGACACGTGAGACAGGGACCATGCGTGAAGGGGGGAGGCCTTAACCCTCTCTGCCCCACGTCCTGCTTGTGCACAGACCCATGTCTGCTGCACTACTGCCCTCCCTTGCCCCATACTCGGTTTCTAGCATTAGCGCCCCTTCCTGCCTCTGCCTTTCCCCCACATCAGCCAAACGGACAGAACTGGAGCTGCCTCTTTCACTTCACAGTGCTCCCTCCCCACGAGGGACTGAGCAAGACTACTGCGTTCACCCCCTGGACACAAGTATTAAGCTGCTTACAGTTCATATGTACATATGGTGTACTTTATTTTCAGTAGAGCATTACATAGTATGAAAGTGTTGGATTTTGTACAGATGTCCCTGTATGTACAGAACTAAATAAAACTGATCTCTTGGGAAGACACATCAGCCTCCACTTCTGATGAGTCAAACCGGGGTTGCTCGGCAGGGCCGGAGCACGGAGGGCTCCTCCGGCACCGACAACAGGAGAAACCGGCCTTTGTCCCCCCTCGAGTGAAGCCGGTCGGGACGAAGCCGCTCCCGCCGCCTCGGTGCGGGGCAAGAGGAGCAGCCGGGATCCTGCGGAGCCGCTCGGGC